AAGCCCTTATTACAGTATCTGGTACAAAGTAAATATATAATAAACTTTAGTATGTTACTGTATGTTATCAGCATACCACAAAGGGAAGGCCTAGAAAGAATATTTTGAGGGTTTGTATATATTTTTTTTTTATTTTTTTAAGATTTATTTTTATTTATTTATGCATACAAGAACTGGGGTATAGGCCAGAGGAAGAGGTGAGGGGATGAAAGGATCCACCAGTGACAGAGTGGGGAGCAGAACAGGCAGATCCACTGAAACACACTGCTGAGGGGAGCAGCAGACAAGACAGGAGAGGTCTGCTGCGCCATGTGGGCAGCTCCCTGGTGGGGAAGCAACCCACACTGCTCTGGCTGGCAGTAGCTTGACAGCCTGAGACTCCAACCCCTGTGCCAACAGGGAGGCCCCTGAATATATGTTTCGACCAATAATTATGGAAGTAGATTTACCGTGCAGGGAAAGTAGAATAATTCTAAAACCACAAAAGGACAGTTAAATAAATTATGGTATAAATATTTAATGTAATATGTTTAGCCATTGAATTTATTTTTATTAAGACTTCTGTTGATATGGGAAATGTTAATAATCAAATGTTAAATGAATAAAGAGGGTACAGAGAAAATTTGAATATATGACTTTGAATCACTATTGTAATTAAATATTATTGTTCAAAATGATTTATTTGTAATAAAACAAGGTAGACACAGAAATACAACAAACAATAACAATATTCACAAGCACAAATTATCAACAGAAAAAACTAAAATGTGCATTATAATTCTAGTAGTCACCTCTGGAGAGTAAGATTACTATGAATTTTTTCCTCCTTAAAATTTGAAAATATTTTTAATGTTTTCTTCAGTAAACACTACTTTTAACTGAAAATATTAATTTAATATTACATTGTTAATTAAAGTGATTAACAACTGTTATTCAGCATTTCCTATGAGAGGAACACAATTCTAATTATATCATATGTATTTCATTTGTTCTCTGGTAAAGAAAACACTAGGCCCAAATGGCTTCAATGAGTAACTTCTACCAAAGATATGAGGAAAAAATAGTACCAATAATACATAAATGTCAAAAAAACTGAAGAGGTAGTTATTGTCTATCCTATCTATGAAGCCAATATTACCCTGAACCCAAAACCAGGCAAGGAACATCAGAAGAAAAGAATAATACAGACCAATATCCTTCATGAAAACAGATACAAAGAATATTAACAAAATTTTAGTCAATTAAATCCAATAATATATAAAAAGAAAAATACATCATTACCAAGTGGGATTTATTCCAAAAATACAAGATGGTTCAACTGTCAAAAATCAACATAATTCATCGTAGTATGTAAACTAAAGAAAAAATCCACATGATCATTTCAGTGAATGCAGAAAAAGCACTTGAACAAATTCAACATCTATTTCTGATTTTTTAAAAAATGTCAACAAACTTGGAAGGGAGGGAAACTCACTTGACCTAATAAAGAGAATCAATGAAAAACATGCCGTTAACAATATTCTCAACAGTAAAAGACAAAACACTTTCCTCTCAACATGAGGAACAAAGCGAGGATGGTAACTTCAGAGTGCAATAAAGCAAGGGGAAAAAAAAAGAACTTCAGAATAGAAAAGACATTGTAAAACTATTTCTATTTACAGGAGCTTTTTAAAAATATTAATTACATGCTGAAATTGTAATAGTTTATATGTTTGAGGTTAAAATATATTAAAATTAATTTCATTCAATTAATATTTCTGCTTTTCAGTGTGCTACTAAAAGTTTTAAATAATATGTATGACATATTTGCCACCTACGTCTTATTTCTATTGGACAAGGCAGATCAGAGAGGTTGGCAGGGGCCAAATCATGTCAGGCAACAGAGCGCACCGTAAGAATTAGTGTTTTTTCTGAGGGTAATATGAATATTAATGGCATTTAAATTGGCAGTGAAACCATGAGAAACAGACTAACAGAAGGCAAGAGCAAATTCACATAAATCAATTGGGGGACTAGGGTGTAGGAGAAATGGGGGAGGGACTTGTGTGTGATGAGGGCGGAGTTAATGAGGGCCTTGACCTAAGGTAAGGTTCAGACAAGGCCAGCAGGAAGGCCTTAAGCTAAAGTATTTGCTCCTAGTTGGGACTGTCACTGTTCATTTCTAGCATGTGATATGTGCCAAGAAATGTTCAGGGATAGCCCAATATGTTAGTTTTCTAACATTTTCTCAGAAATATTTATGATGAAGTAAAATTTATAAACAACGGATCTGGAGGAGTAATTATCAAGTTGAAAAAAAAAGCATTCAGCAAGAAGTTTGCAAACTAATGAAAGAAATGCCACGGTGTTAGCATCTGTTAAGTACTTTTTAAGTTATTTTACTTATTTGGTTCCCCCTGGAGCTGAGTGCTACTCACACATCCCTCTCCTGGTCACATACTCAACCTGTAGATTGCTGTTCTCTGAGAGTGGGAGGAGCAAGAAATGGTGAAAAGAGGATGAAGAGGGAAAAGTGACTGTTATCCATCAACTTGGCTTACTCTTGAATTCTTGCTAATTTCCCATGCAGCCTTCAGGGTGCGTTCTAAGAAAAAAATGCAAGGCAGAGAGCAAGAAGGAACAGAGGGAAATACCAAACAATCAAACTGGGCATTTTCAATGACAAATTGATGATCTTTCAAAGGTTTGGGAATTTTCCCCCTATACATACAAATAAAATAGGTTACACATACCACTCACTTGCAGATAAAAGAACTGAAGTCTAGTGAGGTGAGATCAGTTCCCACAACCATGACATGAAGTGGACATCAAAACCAGCAGGCCTGTCTCCTGACCCACTGTATAGCCTCTCACATGTCACCGGCAGTTCCTCAGACTCAGAGCATCAGAGTCACCTCTGCAAATTCTAATTTCATAGCCGTAGCCGCCCCAGAGTCCATTTCCTCCTTTCCTTCCCCACTGCCACTGCCCTGGGCCAAGGCATAGTGACCTCTCACCTAGGATCTTGGCAACAACCCTCTCTCTGGTCCTTAGCCAGGCTTCTTTCACTCTAATCTAGCCCAACCACCATGGAGACACTAATCTAATCAACGCACAGCTCTCGCTGAAAAGTCACTGTGAGGAACTTTTAACAACTTCCTGTTGCCTAATTTATTAAGTGTTAAAAACTCTCAAGCCCAATGTTCATGGCCTGCCAGGATGCCAGCAGCATGCTCTGCGCTCCAGCCCAAAGCACGCTAGCTCTGAGCATTCTCTGCACTCCTGAGGCTCACTGTATTTGCTTCTGTGCCTTTTCGTGGGCAGCCCCGCCTATATCCCAACTGACAGGGCCATCTGTCCACATTCCTCAGTGGGTCAATTCAAATGCTACTCCACCCATGAAGCCCTCTGATTCCTCTAATTGAAATTCTGAAGCTCTTTGCCACATTTTGCTTTGTACTGTGGTACTGTATGTGCATATCTTATCTCTACCATTAGATTGAGCACCTTGAGGACAATGACCTGTCTTGTTTTCCAATCCCCCCCCAAGCAAGCACAATGGAGACACGTGATAAGCACTGGATAATGTATTTTGGAAGAATGAATTCCTCTTATAAGAATAAACTCAGCTACAATGTATATTAATTATTTAAGAGCTTTTCCTTAGTTTGCAAGATCTTTTATAGTAGAAATGTTCTTTCTTAGAAAATAAATCACATATTGCTCTCAGATTTCCATAATTCTGTAACTAGGTGAACTGAATTAACTCATTAAAAAAGGTTCACCAATTCCTTTCTTCACTGCTGTTGCTAAATAGATATTGAAAGGAATTTTAAAATTCTCAAAAGATCCCAAAAATGTTTCTGAATACATATACCTTACTATTAGTTAATGGATTTTATTAGATTCTCAATAAACTCTCAGGGCATACAGCACATAACACTGCGCTTAACCAGTCACACGGACCTACTCTTGATAATTAAGTGCACACCAGCGACATCCACAAAATGTGTTCATTGTTTAAGTTATTTTTTTTTTAAATCAAGAGAAATGAAGCTGCTAATTCATCACAAAAATCAGACACGTATTTCTTTCTCATTTTATCTGATTAAAAATTTTAAGTGCAACATATATTGATAAAATATTGGTTTCACAAAATCCCATCAAATATCAGAATTAATATTTATGACTCAAAAACAGACCAAATATATCAGAAATGACCAGGAAAACTATCATTTAAAAAATCGATGTTTTGGAAGGGTGTGGGTATTTTAGAGCAGATGAAACACAGGTATGGAAGCAGGACTCCGTTTTCACTCCAGTTGGCAGTGGCACTGATATCTGTCCCCTGCTCAATGGCAAAATGAAGTAATGGGCCTGTCTCCCCACATGCCAGTTACTAAGTCATTACTGATATTATTGCAACCTAAATTAAAATTTTAAAAGATAGTCAAATTGTGTTTTGGGCTATGTATGTGTTTTGTTGTATTATACAACTTAAAAAATGTAACTGGGTCATCAACTGGCATTTGGGGGTGTGTGTGTGTGTGTCTGTATCCTCCTATAGTGAAAAGATTTGAAATACGTTTTTAAGTTGGATTTTTTTTCTAAACCACACCCTTCACAAGATGAAATATTTCATGTCAAGCAAGCCAGGGTAATGATTTTCAAAGCATGTTTTGTTTATTTTCATCTATGTTCACGCTACCTTTGGTGACTCACTTCTTACAGTCTCAAGTTAGAAATGACATCCGTTATACAGTGAGACTCAGGCCAATACACCCCAGTCTTGGAGAAACCCATCAGCAAGTTTTTATTGAGTTCTCACAGAGGGCATGTCTCGGAGACTAGGCACCCACATTTGCATTTGTTGTTGACAACTGTGAACTTTGACCTCCTCCCCACAACCCAGTCTAAATGGGGTTTATAAACCTCCTTCCCACCCACTGTCTTCACTCCCTGGGGCAGGAATGTTGGCTCCTGTTCTCTGTCACCTGTCGGAATCCATCTTCCTGTCACAGGCTTATATGGACAAGTCAGCCAGCTGTCACGTGACCCTGCTGCTAAAAACAGCCCTGGCACCCGCTCTGAACCTGGTCCTGAAACAATGTCCTCCACCGACAGAAACATAAAGGACACTTGATCACACAATCCTTGGAATTATTTCCAGGAAACACTTGCAGAAACCATTTGGAGGACCCTTCCCCTGGCAGTGCTCACAGGGACGGCCAGGAGATGAGCGCATCCTTGAATTACAAGTCTTTTTCCAAAGAGCAGCAGACCATGGATAACTTGGAGAAGCAACTCATCTGTCCTATCTGCTTAGAGATGTTCACGAAACCTGTGGTCATTCTCCCCTGTCAGCATAACCTGTGTAGGAAATGTGCCAGTGATATTTTCCAGGTAGGTGTGTTTGGAAATTAGGGGTGGAAAAGATTCCCTCTTCTCTGGTCAAGTTCTTAACTTAGAGATAAATTCCTTTACATAACTTTTAAAGGCTGCCTTCATTATCAAGAAAAAGAAAAATTTTAAATGATTTGCTTTGTATTTTACTGTCAGCCTCCTTACTCCTAAATCTAGTTGTATTTCAATACTAGGAATCACATTTATTTAAAAAAAAAAAACACTGAATCCATTTCAAAATTGTAAATGAATCACTGCCCAAGACATTAACGTTGGGAGTTTCTGGCTGGAACTTTTGGTTATGAAACCCCAGGTTGGAGAAGTGCCTCCTGCCGACACTGATATGTTGCAGTTCACTGTAGATTAAGGGCCGGACTGTGGTTTTGGACACTGCTGATAAAGCTTGAAGGGATTATTTTAAGGCCAGCTTAGCGTAGAAGTTGATATTATTTGTACTAACAGAGAGTGAAGTGATGTCTCAAAAAAGCTACCTGAGGCATTTTTCAATTTCTCTTTTCTTACTTGGCAAGAACAGGCCTCTAACCCATATTTGCCCACAAGAGGCGGCACCACAGTGGCGTCGGGAGGCCGATTTCGCTGCCCTTCCTGTAGACATGAAGTGGTTTTGGACAGACACGGGATATATGGACTTCAGAGAAACCTGCTGGTGGAAAATATCATTGACATATACAAGCAGGAGTCCACCAGGTATTGGTCTTCATGTGTCAAACTCATTTGAAGCTGTTTCTATCTGTTCTAATGTATTGTAACACGGAACGCTTATTTACAAACCATGAGCAAATTGTTACATAGAAAATATTTTTCCAGCTCAGTCAGTCCTTCCCAATGGGAGTATGAGGTACTCATGGGAGGAGAAAAAGGAGTAAGTGTCCACGCTATTTAAAAATTATTATTACTAACTTAAGAATGAAGTAACTCATGGACACTATTTCAGATGGTGATGATGGAAGAGGCCTACCCCTTTAGGTCTTGCATTAGATATGTTTTAGATATTTCTATACTTCACAGATCCTTTGTAGTTTCATATTCCACAGAGCTAGAAAATTATAGTATAACACTTTATAGAAAAATTAACAGAAATGGCATCTCCCACAATAGTCCAGTTCCTAGTTCAAACAGTCTTACCTTAAAATGATCTGAATGATGATTAAAAAAAACCTAAAATCCTCTAATGTACTTAGTTGTGATATTAACTCTGGGGAGCTGTGATATTAACTCTGGGGAGTTACAAAGCAAGGCTTGGTCTTAGCCTTTAGCAACTTAAAATTAAGAGACATAGGAGGGAAAAAAGATAGAGGTCAGGTTTTATTTCCTAGATCATGTTTACTGCATAATCTTAGCATTCACCTCTTGATTGATTGTTCCATCCATTTGTTATTATAAACATCCATTCATTAAAAGAAAAAGGCTTCTTACTCTTCAAATCACATTGGCTATGGAGTTGCTTTCCTGAAACACTAGGGGAGTTCATTCCTAGAAGGCATGGTGTGAACAGCCCTTTTTCAATTGTGCACAGGTCAGTCTAGTCCACAAAGCTTGACAGCATTATTGAGACCAACTAGAAATGACCTCATTGTGATTCTCACGAGGAGACATGTATTTATAGAACATATATAGGGCTTTAAGAGCCTTGCATTCTTAGAAGGAAAGCTTCCTACAAATCTAACAAATAATCATTATAATCATTGTGGCTATTAGTATTTTGCCTAAGATTCAAAACTAAATTAGTGCCAGAATATAGATAGATTTGGGGAAGAAAAAAACTTGCTGATGGCATATGACAGACATATGGAGTTGGCAATTTTCCTCACTTTCAAGGTCTTTGAGAAGTAAAGCTGTAAAGTTATTGCTTCACAGAGCTGCTCTCATTATATCACATTACATTAAAATGCAAGTAACACATTGACTCTAAAAAAAAAAACCAACTAATAACTGATCAATTATTAAGGAAGTTTATATAAAAACTGATTCAGTGCCTAGTACAGTGCCTTACACAGAATAGTTGCCCATATGAATCAGCTGAATAAACATTTTATGCTCTATTTATTGCAATAATTTTCAGTTTTACTATTTGCCATAGACATAGCTTGAAACATATGAAATAATAATGTCTATGAAATCCAGAAAGAGGAGATGCTAAAAATTATAGTGTTAGTAAAACTATAAGACACACCTGACTTTGTAAAGTCTGTCTGGTGCATCTGCCCAAGTGAGCAAATTGCATAAAGGCAATGAATCAAATTTCCAGCATCGAAGCTCATAGCTGAATGAACTAGTGGTGTTTTTCTGATCATCAAATTCTTATGCTGTTGTTAAGCTCAAGTTGTTAAACTTGTGACTTTCCTTTGGGACATTTTTACTTGATGGCAAGACCACAAATTGCTCAGAGAGCTTGGATATGTGTTTGAACATAAACCCAGTTCTTCCCTGGAGACAGGCAATCCTACCAGGCCAAACCCTAAGCCTCGGGGTATTAGACAGCCTTGAAATAATCTTGGATATACTGAGTGAGATGACTCTAGCTCGGTCCCGCAGCAATTGGTCTAGGGACCAGAGGGAGGAGGGGCTGGTTAACCCTGATCTCCCACACAAAGACTTGAGATTGTAGTCTCCAGAAAACCCGGGCTACTTTTCTGGAATTCTGCATGGTGCTGAACTAGCCATAGCTGGGCAGAAATGACAAGAGAAGAAACTAGTTTTCCTAACATTAATAATGAACATCATAAACTTTAAAATATAGTAACACTAGTATGTATTGAGTTCACTGTTCAGGGTGCCTTATATGAATTGTGTGTAATTCTTTAATTCTTACAACAATCCTGAGGTGGCATTTATGATTACTATATTAAAACTTTTCATATTTTACTCAAAGTAACTCAAATACGTAATTCTAAGCATCAAATGCTACTGTAAGCTCGCTAATGAGAGTGGAATTTTCCACCTTCTCCCTCTTTACCTCTAAGTCTCACTTCCCAGAATCAATCAACCACTTCTTTTTTTTTTTTTTTCATTTATTTATGGATACAAGAAGTGGGGTATAGGCCAGAAGTGGGGTGGAGGGGTGAGAGGATTTGCCAGTGACAGAGCAGGGAGCAGAACAGGTGGATCTACTGAAATACACTGCTGAGGGGAGCAGCAGGCAAGACAGGAAAGGTCTGATGCTCTATGTGGATTAGCTCCCTGGCCGGGGATCAAACTCAGACCTCAGCCATGGGTTATTGCGTGATAACATGATACCGCTGTGACTTAACCCCTACGCTACCAGGGAGGCTCACAGTCAACCACTCCTAATTCTTTCAGCTGTTTTTCTGCTGTTTGTCACCCAGGGACATGTGTATGCTACCAGCATGATTCTGCTTTTTGATTTCTCAATTTTAGATGTCACTGACTTCACTATGGATGAGTAGGACTGTGCCCTCATGAGGTTAGGTTTCTTCTGCTTGACCTTTATTGTCCCAAGTTGAACACTTTGCTTCCTGGATCCCACATCTTCCTCTTTATTGGTTTACTCTACTGTCTTTGTGGAGCACATTCTCATGCAGTTCCTAAGATGTATGAAAAAGTTCTCCTCTTCTCAGCCTGCCCCACACTCCAGCCTTCACAGCTTCTGCAGTTCCAGAGCCTTCCCAGGCTTCCATAGTTCAAGTCAGCTTGTTTCTTGTGGGCTTCTCCCCTGCAGGCACATAGCAGAACTAAGATGCACCTCAAATAAGTCACCTTTCATCCACATGTTCCCCCTTTCCAATACATTCACATCTCTTACCCTCTGTATCCTGCTCAATTTTTGTCCATCATGGCTTATACCTTTTTATTTCCTTACTCTCGTTTTATTGGAATATCAGGAAGAAACAAATAGGTAGGTGCATGTGTTCATTCTGCCATGTTTAACAAAAAGACTTAGTCCGAATTTTAGCTATAAGTAAGTGCTGAGTCCGACAGAAGTGAACTTGCTAAGGCCACACAGTCATGGGGCAGAGAAGCCCAGCTAGAGTCAAGCTTTAAAATCAGTTTGATTATAAAAGTATTGCCAAAATGCCTCACCAAGAAAAATTGCCTGCCCTTCAGGAAACGCTAGGGTAATCCCAGCAACATCAGAGGCCAGAGAGAACAGACACAGACTCCTTGCTCCCAACCGGCCCTGAATGGCTTGGGAGCCACCGTCAGCATTTGACACAGCCCTGAACCATAACTGAGAGTTTGGCCACTCTCGCCTCACAAAAATGGACGCACATCATTCTACACACCATGTTGGCCCCTGGTCTGTTATGTTTTAACTTGTCTGAGAGCTTTCTTTAAACTTACACCCATTTATAAGTGGGGGAGGGGGAGTACTTGTAGACCTGTGTTGCCACCCAAATAAGAAACAGCTAATAAGGATACTGGCAAGTAGTTCAGTCTATATTATGAAAATGTAAATAATCAGTCAAAAATGAAGTGAAGAGACTTATGGCTGTTTTCATATTGCCACAGTTTGCAAACTCTGCCTGCCTGAGCTCTATACCAGGGCCTGGTACAGAGCTCAGAGATTTGAACACAGCAGCACCAGAATGCAGGCAGCCCTCAGGAAGTGCGAAGGCAGAGGCATTGCAGTAGTGCCACTTGGGCCATTTTCCAATAAAGGTGCTCCAGTCTCCTGCTTGACCTTTATTACAAGGCAGAGATACAAGGGAAGGAGGAGTTTAGAGGTGGAGAAGCTTTTGATCAAACGAAGACCAAATCACCATTTCTAATCACTAACTAAGCCCCAGAGGGCTTTGTCAGTTGTAAATGGAATCCTCAGGCTGCTGACTAGTCTTCTCCTTTCCACTTAGAGTGCCAAGTAACCTGAGGCTTTTCCCATAGTTCCATGCCTCCTTCAGACGAGTGGTTTTATGTTAGTGCCCAGGAAATACTCTTCCTTAATCTGGCAAATTCCCTTTTATTTCTCACTTATTTATTCAACACACATTTGCTGAGCTCCCACTGTGGGCTAGGCATTGTTCTGGACACTGAGAAGCCAGTGAAAATGAAGACAGAGCATGGCCTTACCTTCTTGAAGCTTCTTTCTGGGGAAAGAAACAGACAGATAATGGGAGGCGGGATCATTTTCTCAGATGAAGAGTTCACTTTCCAAGCATATGGCAGAAATCAAGTCAGGAGAACATAGACTTTATGGAAATCATAGTCCAGGCAAAAATTTCTTTTGCAGAACTTAGATTCCAAAATCTTTCAGCTGAAAGTTCATACAGTTTTCTCACCAGGTTCAAGAATTTTCTCAACAGTTAGCCCAACCATTTGATTTCCACCTAGTGACTTAGAGATCTAAAACAGCACATTTCCTGCCTCTCTCTCTTGCTCTTCAGTTCTGGGGGCTGCAGCTATATGATACCATACATCAGTATTAATGATTTTCAAACATGGAAGTATGGAGATAGATAGATAGATAGATAGATAGATAATTTTTTGTTCATGGTCCATAAAATCCTGCAGTTTTTAAAAGTGGATCCGGAAAATAACTAAAAATATGCAGTGCCAAATCTGAGATAATCTAAATAACCATATGTTTGAGAACATGCGGACAGATTTTGGGTATGATTTAAATTTTTCAAATACTTCTGAAAATTGTTAAGAGCCTCAGTCTTTAGAGATAGGCTACATCAAATTCCAGGGTTTTGTTTAAGTAGGATATACCCACATCTCCCAGTATGTTCTCCAGGGGAATCTGAAGTACCACAATTTGGCATAATTTTGCTTTGATTCTTACCCCAAAGCCATGGGAATATACCATGGGTTGAAAACTCGGGGTTCTCCAGGTGATTACATGGTTAACAAATTATTTTTCAGTAGCAATGACTTGCCACTCTCTCCCTTATGTTTTTGATCCTTCGTTGCTTGATCATATCTCACTAGCACATGCAAATCCTATAGTCCATTATTACCTGCTGCAGTTCTGAAAAGTTTTGGTTGGTGCCAACCCATTGAGAAAACAGGAACTTGCATGTTATCTGTGATACTCACACCTCCCAACTACCACCATGTCTGAGAATAGCATTCTGCATTTTTCTTCTTGCCTAAAGTACTTAATATAATTATTCACACTATTCACACTCACTGAGAGTATACTGACCATTCTTAATCATAGCTAAGTTTTCAGGAAGTTATTACATTGGATTTTCTGTATCAATGACAGCAGGAGACCCAAAGAAGTTAATAAAGCATATGCTGATATTTTCTCTCTTATACAGAGTTACTTCCAACCAGTGTCTAGATGAGTAATCAGAGATTTGGGCTTGCCCAATCCCACCCTCATCATCATTTCCTTTGGTGGGAAATGTGTTTGCTGGGGATGGGATCTAGTGCCTTCTTAATGCTGGTGCAAACTCAAGATTTAGTTTATCATCAGCTTCCCTTTCTTCACCTTTGATTTGCTTTCCATTTTAATTGGAAAGTATCTCTTGAGAAACTTGTGGGCATGTGGAGACAGAGCTAAGCATCCTCCTTCCAAAAGGATCAGGGTTCAACTTTCAGGAGTTGCACTAGCTCAATTTTAAACCTTCAATAATTTGAAACTCGTTGTGTTAGGAATACTCACACCATGGAAGTGAGCAAATACTACAGATCAGAGTCTCCACGTCCCAGCTCCACCCTAGGCTGGTTGTTGGAGATTTGGAAACAAACCACTGCTAAACCTGGGAATCTGAATGTGGAGGGCTCTGAGCACATGAGAAGTACTTTGGGAGTTTTTTGGAACAGGGTTGCTGGGGGGATACGGGGAAGCTAGGGTTTGTGATGCTGATCATCCCTCTCTGCTCTACACACTGTGCCCACTGGGAACTGACACATTTATCTGCCCACCTCCTCCCAGGCCAGAAAAGAAGTCAGACCAGCCCATGTGTGAGGAGCATGAAGAAGAGCGAATCAACATCTACTGTCTGAACTGTGAAGTGCCCACCTGCTCTCTGTGCAAAGTCTTTGGGGCACACAAGGATTGCCAGGTGGCCCCCCTCACTCATGTGTTTCAGAGACAGAAGGTAAGCTCCCCTCTGGTCCCTCCTCCTCAGTTGTTTGCACAAGTTGGAAAGATTGGTGATTGGATCCTACCTGCAAGGAGGGCCAGCTAAGCATGTAGGGCCTGGACATGGAGGGTGGAACCAGAAGGGATGCTGGTGGTGGGTTCATGGCTGTCCTCATGCAGTTTCCCTGAAAGAGGGCAGGAGAGGGTTGCTGAGGGTCAGAAAGGGGTGCAGAAGGGAAGGGTCACTGTTTTTGTACCCTGTAGAGGATGCTCAAGGGGATCAGTGTTTGGGGACATTATCTGAGCTCAAGCATTACTGAAGTTCAGACTATAGATAAGAAAAGGGTAACTTTTTACTCCAGTCACAGAATACTTTGCCAATGCCCCCCCATTCCTTCCTTAAGGCTTAATCTCTCCCCCTCAGAGTGGATGGCTCCCCTAGTAGGTGAGAGTTATTGTGAATGGGATTTAGTTAAGAAACAACTTTCAGACATTACTTGTGGTTATTCCTGAAGGTTAGGTTAAACTGGGCTCCTAGTCTTTCAACCTACGCCTCCTATGAGTGTGCACCTGCCCCTCACCCTAGGACCTCAGCCTTAGCCCCTTCATTTTGACCAAATACAGTGGTCCCCCAGCTTACCACTACCCTGACAACTTGGTGTCACCCCACAAGTGGGAAATTATCCATTTAATGAGGATAAATGCAGAGTTCAGGTGCAGTACTTCCAGGCACCTAGAATTTGAGCAGCTCCACATCTCAGTTTCTTTCTGAAAGAATCATAGTTTCACATTTGGTCAGTGTTTGAACATGCAATCAGAGTTGGAATCAAATTTGGAAACCAAACTTTTGGGCAACAACCAGTGATTTCTAACCACTAAATATGGATTTCATAAGAAAACCATACTATTTATTTTTTAATCCACTTATGATTTATATTCCATTTTTCTTCCACCCCTCTAACTAATCAGTTAGAATTGATTAGTACCTGTTTCACACATCCCTTCAGAGCCCAGGGGAGTCATGTAGGATGGACAGAAGGACAGACTGGCAGGACTTCCATCCCATTTCTGTTTGACCAAAGCAGCTTCACTTTTACCTGTTGGGATTCCATATGTGCTTTCATTTGAAGAAAGTGTTCTGCAGCTTTAGAATGTTTACAACCACTAGTTTAATCCAGTGAAGGTCCCAATTAATTTCATGTTTATCCAACATCATAGAGAAGTTAAAGGCAGAATTGGTGCAAACACTAATGGCTCCTAAGTCCCATTCTGTGGTCCCTGGTGCTCTGTGGGCCACCCTGGGGAGGGGGTAAATACAAACAATGAGATTTATTTGGGTCAAATTGAAATTTCTCCCTTAGAAAGAACCAAATGTAAGTTTCAAATTTGCAATGACTTAGTCTAGTATGTGAGTTTTTGCGTGTCTATCACATCAAAACTGAATAACATGTTGAATAAGTAAATATTTACTATGCAAATTTTCTTAGTAAAACAAACCCTTAGTTACATTAGGAAAATAACTCATTCTGGGTCCCTGAAGTCACATATTAGACACTGTTCAATTTATAAAAAGGCATTCTTTAGACTGTTCTTTATAGCCAATAATTCAGTGTTCTTAATGTTTTTAATAGGGACACAGTCTCCATTAAGAATTTGATGAAAATTATGAGGCTCTTCCAAGACAAATGCATTTATGTACATATTCATACAGAAAATTATTTACAAGATCTTGATATTTCCCAGCTTCACTGTTAGCCTTTTGGAGTTCCATGGACCTTAGATTAAGTACCCATGAGGACAATACCACAATTAATCCACATTCAATGCTGTCTAGAAAGCCCATAAGAGCTTGTGCCCTTCTGTCTTCATTAGTCTGAACTCAGTGATGGCATTGCCGTCCTCGTGGGGAGCAACGATCGAGTCCAGGGAGTGATCACCCAGCTGGAAGACACCTGTAAAACAATCGAGGTATGTCAAAGAGACTCCAAATGGGCTTTGAGCTTCTCTCACTACCAATCCAGCATCTTGATCTTTCTTATAGAATGACTTCCATCCTCACATGTTTCTAAAATATTCACCTCTTGGCACAGAAAGAAATGTTACCACGTGAGTCAATGAGGCAGATTTCACCACATTTACTAGAGTTGCTGTTACCTGTGTTCTTTCTTGGTCAACCCATCCTGTGAGATAAGCTACAAGAAAAATCAATTTCCAGTAATGAAAATGATTGTTGTCCACCATGATAACCCAATTCCTTTGAGGAAATCCACCAGGTCTTAACAAGTGCTAGTTAGTGCTATGGAGTCAGGTTTGGCTGTACAGCTGAGCTCTAGAGCAGTGCTGCAAAAAAGGCCAGCAGGAAGAGAAAGACCTGCCTGTGGTCAGAGAATCATTCAATAGCTGGGAGCTCAGGCAGGTCAGACCTCTGGCTCCTTCATCTCTGCCTTCTGCTTGGCCTAGTGACTGACACATAATAAACACTCAATAAAAATCTGATAAATAAATGGTGGATTGCTAACTGGATCTTTAACTCATACTTAGGTTTGGCATGTATGAAACACTATGAATCCTTTTTTCTCAAGTTGAAATATAGAACTATGCAATTGCTGAAGACGAAACACTGAAACCTAAAGTGGTTTAGCTATGTAGTGGATATCTGCTCAAGAATTGAAGATTCCCATGCTAGTTAAGCCATGCTGCAGGGGCGCACATGCCAGACATCTGAATTTGAGTCCAGTTCTCTAACTTGGGGCAGTTTATTCCTACCTCTCTGCTGTAAGCATTAGGGTTGCCTTTTGTTTTTGTTTGGAGTTCAAGTACAGAGAGTTGAGGCACTATACTGCTCAGTTCATGGCGTATTGTCCTCTTCGCCGTGTGCGAGGCCACTCTTGTTATGTATTTTTGCACTTTATTCCCTACTTCCTACTCCTGTTCTCCTCGCCATAGGTAACCATTCTAGTTGTTTGATGCTCCATTAACCTGTATTCTTACAAAATATGTATTTTTATATGCACATCTTTCAAGGGATTCTTGTGCTTCTCTTTTTGCTTTGTACCTTTTTTTTAACAAAACATTATGTTTTTAAGATCCATTCACATGTACATTCAATCCATCAATTTTCTTCTTCTATAAGGATGGGGCAGAATACCCACCTTCTAGAGTTACTATGAGGAATTAAATAAATAAAGATAAGCAAAATGCTGATCACACTGCTTGGCATATGGTGAGTACCACCAATAAATGCACTAGTCTTATTATTTTATGACTGGAAAGGCAAATTCTGTAAAAAGTCAAAGGCCAGTCTTACATAATGACATGAAGACACTGACCATCATCATCTCATTTAAGATTTATATTCATTAAAATAAATCTCCTTTCTTCTCCATATTCATAGTCCCCAAAGACCCATGATAAATCTGGGATCCACTTCTAGAGGAAAGTTTTCTCTTGGTGAAGAGCCCAAAGAGATCCTGGAATAGACAATATAAATTTTTCCTGTTGACTTATTTACACTAAAGGGGAAATGTAACTTATTCATTAAGTCATGAATCAACACGCCAGTGCTCTGCCACACTGAGTCCTCAGAGTATTAATAGGAGTGTGTTGTTTGTGGGCAAGTGAGGTAATCTCTATCTTGGTCTCTGGTCTGGTTTCATCAGAGACCTGTTAGGTGAACAGACTTTCTGTGGGGACAGGAAGGCTAGAGAACACACAGACAAAAAGTCCTGGAGGTTATGTTTGACTTGAGCAAATGCAAATATCTTGGGCTCCATTTGCCAGCATCAGCATCAGAGGACACTGAGTAGGTAACGAGAGACTTGACAGTTGGGTTTCTTCCCGGAGGTGGGTCAGGGGAGTGATAGGAAGCAGCTGTTTATTCTTTCAGAGAACAAGACAAGGAGGAACAGTTTTGAAGCTAAGTCCAGCCAAAGGGATTAGGAAGAACTTTCTAATGCAGATATTAGGAAGAACTTACTCACAGTCAAGGTCAGGATTATTACCACTACTATTATTGACCAAATCATCTGTTGAAATGACATACTTTAATACGTATTCCGACAGGTCACTAGAATAGGGTATATAATCGTTTCCTGCAGAGCTTAAAATTCAACCCTTGAGAGGCAACTACAAAACTGAGCATCCGGAGAGGGGGGTGGGTGGGCAGAGGGTAAGAACAAAGAGGCAAGGATGCACAGTGGACTATGGTAGAGGACAGTGGGTGATTTGGTGGCAATACCTGACAGGAGTATCCTAATATTACCCCAATTTAAAATATTAAATTAAAAAAAGAATTTGAAAAAGTATTTAAAAAATAAAATTAAAATTAAAAAGATTGAATTTTTTAGAAAAGATTGCACATGGGCAGGAGTCTTACAAGCATCAACACTTACCTGTTTATTTCACTTCTGGGATTTTACTTTAAGGAAGTAAGATGAAAAGTAAGTATACCAAAAAAATATGGAATGCATATATTCATAAATAACTCCCAACTACATTTATAAGGAGAAAAAAACTCCAAATCAAAAGGTTTAGAACAGTATATAGTGGAGCTACAGGTGACTTTTAATACCTTCCTTATAAATTCCTGTATTTCCCATTTTTCAAAAGCAAAGCATGGCATTTTTAATAACCAATAAAATAAGTAATAAATGACTGAACGAATATGGCTGATAAGCACAGTTCTTTCGAACTAATTTAGTCGGCTCATCTGGAAATGTAGGAATTATTAGCTCAGGGCCCCAAAGGGATCTCTTATTTTATGAATCCTGCTTAGTTCAAATATCCTCCACTTGACAAGGCCTGAGGACAGACACTGCCACAAGTGGCCATACCTTTCGCCTGTAATTACTAAGGTGATCTTCTGAACAGCCAGGACTATGTCAGTGGGTGAAACAGCAGCTGTCCCCGTTGCACCAGCCTGCAGGGGAGCACACAGCAGGTCCTTGTCTTGGTGAAGTGGCCCTGCCTTGCCGAGCAGGTGAATGTGGTACCAGGGTCTGGATTACAGAGCTCCTGGAACTTCTGTTCTGCTGGGGTGGTTGTTTTGTTTTTGAGAAGTCTTTGAAGGCTCTGGGCCAAGAGGTGGAGAGTTGCTGTTATAGAATTCTCTTTTCTGATTGGTGATGTGCCCCCAAGGGATGGGAAATGGAGTAGTCCCTGGGGTGAGCACTATCCTTCCTAATTACCTTGCCTTCCCCACTTGGGGCCTGACACCTGGCCTGTGCTGATGTAGTAGCCATCCTTGCATGTTTCTAATTTTGTCACTAATCATGTAGTGTGGGCAGATCTTGGCAGGTCTGGCCCAGGATCAGCCTTCGAGAGCTGCTGAGCTTAGGGTGCATCACACTGTGACTCCTTGTTGTCCTTTAAAAATAAAGCATGTCAGGCCTCCCCGGTGGCGCAGCGGTTGAGCGCTGGGTTGCGAAGCTGCCCGCGGACTCTGCGGCGCTGGTTCGATCCCCGGCTGCTCCCCGGCCACCCGAGGAGGGTCCCACATGGCGCGCAGACCTCTCCTGCCGCCCGCTGCTCCCCTCAGCAGTGCGCTTCGGTCCTTCTGCCTGCTCTGCTCCCTGCTCTGGCTCTGGTGAATTCTCTCACCCTCCCGTGCTTCTGACTGTACCCAGTGCTTGTATAAACAAAAAACACAAACAAAAAACAAAAAAAAAAACAAAGAAAACATGCCTCTATAAAAAAAAAAATAAATAAATAAAGCATGTCGTTGATGTGAATTCACAGTGATAATGAGGGCTGCTTTGAGAGGTACACCAGTCACGAAAGAGCAGGGTAAATGTGTTGAAGGGGAAAGTGGCATTCTCCCTTTTCACTGTGGGTAAATGGTAAGTAAAGAAACCTTCAGACTCTTTAGCTGGCTGAGAGTTGGCTGAGAGTGACAGCCTGAGAAGTTTCCAGAGCTCTGGATTGCAGGCTGTTCAAGGTGACCCCAGTATGGCCTGGAGCTGCCTATACCTTTCTAGTTCTGGAGCAGGTTGAGACTGAGTAGGGAACTTTAGGAATGGAGAAGTGCACTACTCTGGAGCTCTCCGCTTCCAGAAAAATGTGATTGACTTTAATTCCTAGAAAACATAACCTCTTGGGGCCTCAGGGTTAAGTCTTAGTGCTATCACTGCTATGACCTTAGTTTGATCCCCAGCCGGGGAGCATAATACACTTATGGTGTTGCAGACCTCTCCTGTCTCACCCGCTGCTTCCCTCAGCAGTGTATTTCAGTAAATCCACCTGTTCTGCAACCCACTCTATGTCTGGTGAATCCTCTCACCTCCCCCGACTCTGGTCTATACCCCAGTTCTTTGATGCACAAAATAAATAAATAAATCTTAAAAAAAAAATAACCTCCCTCTTGTAGTTTTTTTGGGTTTGTTTTTGTTTATTTTTAAAGACATATTTTGGGCCAGAGGTGTGTGTGTGTGTGTGTGTGTGTGATGGGGGCGGGGGTGAGAGGATTCACCAGAGACAGAGTGGGATCTACTGAACAAGGGGATCTACTAAAATACACTGCTGAGGGGAGCAGCAGGCAAGTCAGGAGGGGTCTGCTGAGCCAAGTTAGGGAGGAGTAGAAATAATTCTATTTTACATGGGGAACAGCTACCACTTGAATAATAAATATTTGCTCTTGAACATTTCCAGTATCTGAAAAATGACAACTTTCATAAAGTTTCCCAGTGATTTTGCAATGAAAACAAATAATGTATTTCCAAAATAGTGAATTTACCAAGTAGCTCTGAGATATTGTCCATGCATTTACAAATATGAAGTATGAATATAAGAATCATTTCAATGGACATGCAAGGACTTTCAAGGCAATATTTTTAAGGCAATTTACATATACTTAAAAGAACAGGTTTCAGAGTTTTGAGTTTTAGTACTGCCACTTAATTGTTTGACTTTGGGGAAGTCCCTTAAGTTCTCTGTCCCTCAGCTTCCTCAGTGGTACAATGGGGATAGTAATA